GGGCGACCGGCGGAGTGGCCGTCGTCGAATCGATCTACCCCTTCTCGAGGGGGCGGAGGGCAGAGAGCCCGGGCGAGGGGGCGGGGAGCGAGGAGAGGGCCTTACGGCCGGCCGCGCTCCTGCGTCCAAGTCCCCTCCGTCTCCTGCTGTCCTTCCAGCCCGGTGACCTGTTGTTTTTCCAGCTCCTGTTGGGCGAATATCCGCCGTGCCCACTTGTTAACCATTTTGCCCAGATGCGTCTTCCTGGTTAAAGCCCCCGAGGAGAGGAGAGTGGTTTTTGATCGGGGATTTCCCGCCCCCCCCCGCCAGCGCGCCCCCCCGCGAAAGGCCTGAAACCTATGCAAGTAAACAGAAAAGCTGGTCTTTACTGTTCTTGTTATTTTAGAGATGCCTCAGATTCGAAATTAGATTCCAGAAATCATAGCCCACAAGCCGTGGCTCATTTTTCAGTGTTTTTATTATGGACGGTACACATGAGTCATGAGCCACTTCTGACCATTGGCGATTTAAAATCTGATTAGGTCAAAGTCTTCAGAATAAGAGTGGATACTGAAAATCGTAGAGCCACAATCTCTTTCATGTATGTAATTACACGTGTAAAAGCAAATGTCATCAGCTGTTCAACACCTGCTCCTTAACAAGCTATAAGGAAGCATGGAATCTGAATTTTATAGCGCCATGTCTTAGTCATTTAAAAATATGTCATAAGGATTCTTTACTGATAATTATGCTGATGTTTATTAACAAATATCTCTTGATTTTTCAGTGCATTTTTGAGGCCCAAATTGGGGAAGCAATATGAAGCCTCTTGTGTGGTATGTGATTTTCACCATTTAGTAATTATTTCCATATTCTCTGTGGTCATTTGATCCCAAAGAAAGACTTGGCATCATGTTGGCTGTATATACATATTAATTCACTTGTAGACATTATGAAGCACCTACTGTGTGTCAGACACAATTCTCTGTTCTAGGCTAGACAATGATGAGAACGGAATGTTTGCATTCTAGTGGAAAGGGAACACATTCCAAATAAATAAGTCAATACATAGTAAGCCAGATGGCTATGGAGAAAAAAATAGGGGGAAGAAACAGATTAGGAAGCACTATTTTATGAACGGTGGGTAGATAAGACTTCCCTACGCATGAGACCCTTGGATAAAGACAGGAAGAAAGGTAGGGAAGGATAGCCAGAGGGAGGAGCAGAGGGAACAGCAAGTTAAGGGACCTTAGCACCTACTAGGGAGTAAGTGGAAGGATGAGGAGGGAATGAGAAGCCGAAGAGAGGGCAGAGAGATAACAGAGAACTGGGTCGTGGAGGGTTTGGGGGAACAAGTGCAAAAAGTCAAATCCTTAATCAACAAAATTGAGACTATTATGTAGTTGAAGTTCATATGATGACTGTCTAGAACTACTTGAACAAAATAATATGCAATTCTATGCTTTTATGTCTTGCATATGTTCTGCAATTCTGAAAATGAACTATATAGCATTATTATAAAAATAACGCTGCTAATATGAAAATAAAGTGCATTTCTCCTGAGGTTTTAGAGAATCCTATATCCCTCCAAAGTCTCGTTTTACAAATTGGGAAAATAAGACATGAAATCCTGAAACAGAACTGAAACGGACTTTTCACAGCCTTCATTCCTATTTGGAACTGAACTTGAAGATCTTTACGTTGCATATATCATAACCTAAAAGAAGAAATCCACCCATTTGGGTATTGCCATGTGTATTTACAAATAGCTATATGGAGTTGAGCTTTGGGTAAGGAGATCTGACATGTGTTAGAGCCACAAACTGTGATGGACGCCAATGGAAAGTAAAATACAGACACCCACTCAAGAAGAAATGTGTTTTGTTACAGTTCCTGTCCTTCATTCAATGTTGTCACAATTTTTTAAATATAGCTCTTTATATAAGGACCTTTTAATGGAATTTGTTGTTGAACTTAGCCCATTAGAGTAATCTGACACTAAAATTCTCAAAGCCTTCCTTAAATCACGCTGACAATTAAATATAAGCTTGAAGTATTCCTGACTTTTCTCTGTTGTTAGCAAAGATATGTCTGACATTTTTAATGTAGCACAGTGTGTCAAATAGCTAAGTTACACTTATGGATAGATAGATAGCTAGGGATAGAGATATACACATAGAGATATTAATCTAGAAAAAAATGACAAAACCTAAAAAAAGTTAAAAAGTTATATTAGTAACATTTAAAAAGAAAATGACATTAACTATCCAGAACTCCTGAGACTACAAAATGTATAACTCTTCCTCTACAATGTATCTATTAAACTGCATAAATTCTTGAAAATATTTTAATGTGTTACAGTCTTAATTACTTAATGCATAATTGGATAACTGGGGATTAAGAAATTTAAAAGTATGTGTATCTACCTCACCAACATATTTAAAGGTTTTTATTTTGTTTTTTAAAAGAAAACAAAAGATTGTATCTCTGATTATGTTCTTTACCAAAACCTCAGCATGTCTTCCATTATAAAGGTGAATGGTTTTTTTTTTAATCAAAAGGAGAAAGTTTTCTTCTGAGAATCTCTGTAGTAAGTCATGTCTTTTTCACAGGTATCTTAATAATTCCAGTAATTACAGTTTGAACATTTGGAATGTATATTATTATCCTTCTATAGGACATTTACACGATTTTCTTCACCACAAGTACCAATCATGTTCTTCCAAGTCAAATGTTTACTAAATACATTTTAATATTTAGTAGCTGCTCTTTCCCTAATATCTAATAGTGATATCCCCTTCTTCTTTCAAAAATAAAATGAAACAAGCAAATCAAAATTGACATGAATTCTGTCCCTCAAGACATTTTTACAAAAGACATTTTATTTTAGCCTGTAGAGATGACAACCTCTTTGGATGACTCAGCAATATTTTACAAACTATTATGTTCCCAAATCTCATGAGGTTAGGTATGCTGTTCCTCTGTTCAAGGAAACTTATTTTGATGGAAATAAAAATTACTTCATAATTCAAGCCATTTGCTTTGCACCCAAAGCCTGTAAATGGGTAAATAATAGAAAATTATCACTGACCCATTGTATGGCAATATATGCAATGAAATGCCTTGTGAGTTCACCCTAAAGAGTTGAACCTAGTGATTTGCATCTTTTAAGGCTACAGCACCTGAATCTCCATGATTTCACCAATCAGAATCTTATTATACAGGCTTTTGGGATTTTGTTTTTGTCTCTACAGTCCTTTGAGCGAGTACTGGTAGAAAATAAGCTGCATGGCCTCTCTCCAGCTCTGTCTGAAGCCATCCAGAGCATTTCCAGATGGGAGCTGGTGCAAGCCGCTTTGCCTCATGTCCTCCACTGCACTGCAACCCTGCTGTCGAACAGAAACAAGCTAGGTTGGTGCCCCTACCGTACCTCTCTATTGCATGACATTGCCCTTGGTGTTCCACCCTGATAATACTAACATGCATGGAAGGGTGACTATTGTCTCAAGCGCTGTGCATACATCCCCTCATTTTATTCTCATAAATTCTTTCTCACATTTGTTCTGCCACTATTTTCATTTTACCGATAAGGCAGCAAGCTACCTTGTTTTTAATTTTTTAATTTCACAGGTAATATTTGAATATATTCTCTTCTTAAATATTAAACTGTTGCAGATAAGCTAAAGATTTACTTGCCAAAGATGAGTCCCAGCCAATGCTGACTTTTTGCTTTCAATTCCCAAAGCAACCACTTTCAAGAATTTGGTGTATTTCCTTCATGTAGTACCATGTTTGTATGTGTGCCTATGTGCATATAAAGATTATCCTGTTAGATTATTTTGAAAATTGCCTGTCTCATCTGATCATACGACCTAGTCATCTACTCTGTGTTGGTGTACATGCTCTTCTTTCTATTTCCTCTCCTCGTTTGGGTCTCTGTTGAAATGTTACCTCTGTAGAGGGACCTTTTCAGGTCACAGCACCAAGAATAGAATAGTTGTTATCTTCAGAGCCTATATTTTTAACCACATCGCTTCCTCTTTGGAAATATGTTTGGGTATCTGACTGAAGAGATGTGATTCATGCAGTGTCTGCTCCCATGACAGAGCCTCATCATGCAGAGGTTGCAGCCAGTAGTAGGGAAGCCCAAAAACCTAAAATGAGCCCTGCTAGCAGTGGTTGTAAGAACTACAGAGGCCAGGCTTGGTGGCTCAACCTGTAATCCCAGCACTTTGGGAGGCCAAGTTGAGTGGATTGCCTGAGACCACATGTTCAAGACCATCCTGAGCAACTTGGCGAGACCTTGTCTCTACAATAAATCAAAAATAATTAGCTGGGTGTGGTAGTACACGCCTGTGGTTCCAGGTACCTGGAAAGCTGAGGCGGAAGGATCGCTGGAGCCCAGCAGGTCAAGGCTGCGGTGGCCGTAAGCATGCCACTGCATTCCAGTCTGGGCGACAGAGTGAGACTCCAACTCAAAAAAAAAAAAAGAAAGAAAAGAAAAGAAAAAGAAGAAGTGCAGAGAGATGCTAGTGTGCCCTGGGTGACAGAGGCACAGAGCAAGTAGCAACGTTCTTCCCAGACCCAGTGTTGCCATCTGTCTCTCTGGTCACAGAGTTTGCCTTAACCTGGCTGCGTGGTTGTCTCATGCAGGCCACCAAGATAAACTGGGTGTCGCCGAGACCAAGCTCCTTCACACTTTGCACTGGATGCTCCTGGAGGCCCCCCAGGACTGCAACAGCGAGAGGTTTGGGGGCACAGACCGAGGCTCTAGCTGGGGTGGCAGCAGCAGCGCCTTCATTCACCAGGTTGAAAACCAGGGCTCTCCGGGGCAGCCTTGTCACAGCAGCCCCAATGATGAAGAAGAGAACAGCCGAAGGAAGATCTTCCAGAACTCCATGGCCACCGTGGAGCTCTTTGTGTTTCTATTTGCTCCTCTGGTGCATAGGATCAAGGTAAGCAGAAAGCTAGTTTTCAGACTGGGATGGGAATGCAGCGAGGGTGGGCTTCTAGTGGTTTTTCCGAATGTGATTTCCATGTTCTTTGTATGATCTTATAGCAAGCCAAAGCATGGAAACCCTTCTTTCTTTCTTTCTTTCTTTTTTTTTTTGAGTTGGAGTCTCACTCCCTCACCCAGACTGTAGTGCAGTGGCACACTCACAGCCACCCCAGCGTTGACCTGCTGGACTCAGGCGATCCCTCCACCTCAGTTTTCCAAGCAGCTGGAACTACAGGCACATGCTACCACACCTGGCTAATTTTTTCTTTTTGATTTTATTGTAGAGATGAGGTCTTACCATGTTGCCCAGGCTGGTCTTCAACCCATGGGCTCAGGCAGTCCTCTCGCCTTGGTCTCCCAAAGTGTTGGGATTACAGGCTTGAGCCCCTGTGAAAACTTTATTTCTGTATTAAACTACTAAATGTCACTTCAAAAATACAAATCTCCACAGAGTCTTCACCTACTTAAAAATCTTCAGTGGTCCTGCCTCTGCCTCTAGATAATCCCCCAACATATTAAACATGGAATATAAAGTTGAGCGTGAGGTGGGGCTTAAGTAAGTGCCTTCCTTGATTTTTCGACTGTTAGTTTCTATTGGCCACCTCATGACCCAGCCTTGGGAGTCCTAGGAACCATTCCCTGAGATGCCTTTGCTGTTTGTTCCACCCTCCTCTTCCTCCTATCTTCATCTGATGGCTTCATTCTCCAACTTTAATGTCATCATTAACATGAAGCTTTTTCTTAGACCTTCCCCATCCAGACTTAGTTGCTCTCTCTTCTATACAATACTGCCTCTCTTATTCATTTTTTACATGCTTATGGACTTTATGACAGTTGGGCAAAGCCTAAGAATTGCTTTCTAAAGTATTTTTAAATGCATCAAGTACAAAAAGTGGAATTACATGAAAACTGGTTGTCTTAAAATTCAGTTATATCCATTTGCCCCTTAGACATGGAAAAAACTATATAATTGGAAATCACTATGCTGCCACTTTCTGGCTGTGTGATCTTGGTGATATTATTTAACCTCTCAAATTCTCAATTGCATAAAATTGTGGATAGCACTAACACATACTGCAGTTCCAACACATAGAAAGAAATCAAGAACTATGTACTACTTCTGTGAAAGAACAAACTACCATTCCACCTAAGTGCCAAGATAAGAGATAAGAGGAAATTAAGATATTCAACTCTTCTTCAATGGAATAATATGACCCTAATAAATAGATGTCGAAGTTAGCAATATATGTGTGTATAAAAACAGCTGTGACCATTAACAATTGCCATAAAAGGGCAAGGAGATAGAGAAGGGGGTGGATAGAAAACACAGAAGTTCTTCCAAATATCCTACAGCCCATGGGATGGCATCCCACAACAAAAAAGCCAACAGTGCCAAGGCTGGAGAACTCTGATCCAGAAATTATGTTACCCAACAACACTGAATAAAGCAAATACTTCTCACTAGACTAGTGAGTATTTGAACCCATTTTAGTTTTCTAAAAAATTCACTTTCTGCTGGCTCTGTCCATTGCCAGTAGGAGTAGACGAGAAATTACCTATCAAATTCCCCACATGCAACATACACACTGGCTACATTGTGCATCAAACACACAAAAATGGTAAAAAGTTGTTAAATCCAATTAAATTGCTGTTTTAAAAGCTTTAACTTTCTATTTCTAAAAGTCGCTTATAGAAGTCATACTTCACAGAAAGCATTGTTTTAACAGTCCAACTGGCTTGTGGGCCCTGAAGGACCTGTCCCTGCCATCTCCTGGGCTTCGTCTCTCTCCATCTCAGTAGCCTGTCTCTTGTTTACTAACCACCTTTAGGCTTGCCATGGGCTCATCCTCGAACTCGATAAGCGCCTTCTTGTTCGCAGGTCCTTGCCCTGTTTTTTTCTTCTACTTGAAACATTTACCCCCACCCTCTATCCTCTGTCGTCCTCACAAGGCCATGTACTTCTCATCAGTTTATTCACAATTCAAAGGCCAACACATCAGAAAGTTCTTCCCTGGCTACTTTAGTGCCACAAGCACTCAGCCTAATTTTTTTTCCTTCTTAGTACTTATCAATCCTGGAATTATTTTATGTTTTGGCCTACATGTTTGTTGCCCATCACCCCACTAGAACAGAGGTCCTTGAGTGAAGGGACGCTGCCTGTCCAGGTGACAACTGTATCACTAGTGTCAAGAATAGTGTCTGGAAAATGTGACGTTATCAATAATGTTTACTGATTGACTCACACTGAGTGGACCCATTATTATCAGAAGCTGATCCAAGTACCAGAAGCAGCAATTATAGGTAGGTACATAGTCTTTAAAATGGACAGGACACGATAGAAGTATGTTAATAGATATCATCTAGAAAAATGCAGAAATATAGGACTGTCTGGAGTGGTTGTAATTTTATTTGGAAGACATGACTGAGGGTTCAGATTTTAGAAACAGATGAGTCTGCATTTGAATCCAAGGTCTGCTGCTTCCACCTGTAGGATGTTGAGGTATTAATTTCTTTAAGCTTCAGTTTTCTCAGATATAAATTGGACCTAATGATACATTTATTGGGCATTGCAAAAATTAAACGAGTTATAGTATTCAATATGTCACAAAGAAAGGCATTAACAAATGTTAGTTTTTAGTGTTAGCATGTTATTGCTACTGGTATTATATATTATGAGTAGAAAGGAAGCAAGATCCTCTTCTAGGAAAGACACTTCAGAAAGTTGGCAAAGTACCCTCAAGTTTAAGACCCTCAAGTTTTACCTGTGATTTGGAATGGAGAATTTATAAAGAAGTAAAACAACTTATACAGAATATTGCACAGTGATTTATATATCATAAACAATCTGTATGAACTATATTGCTAGCATTATTATTGCTTTATCATTTTGTCATTGCTGTGAAAGAAGTGTTGTCCTAGATGCTACAGATAATAAAAAGTAATTTCTGCATAAGGACTTTTTCATTTGAGGGAAATATTTGGTTTATTCAATATTGTTGGGGAGCATGCAATCTCTAGATCAGGGTTCCCCAGTCTTGGCACTGTTAGCTCTTTTGGCTTTTTTGTTGTGGGATGCCACCACATGCACTGTAGGATATTTGGTATCTTCTATCCACCAGTAACATCTCCTTGCCCCTGAGTTGTGACAACCACAAATGACTTCCAGTGTTGCCAGATGTCCCTAGGTGGGTGGGTGGAAGCGAATCCGCCCTAAGTGAGAACTGTTGTCATATATCTTTCATAGGCCTGAAGGTTATCAGGCCGTCTTGGGGTCTGTTTTCTTTCCCAGTCCATCCTCTACCTCTGGAAATCACCTCTCACCAGCACCATTAATGCCCTTCCCCTCCCCCCCGCATCCTTTGCAGTTGCTTTTCAAGACTCCAACCCCAGATCAATACGAAAATCCACCGTTTGCATCTCTACCCCAGAGATCTTCATACTGCTGAGGAACCCACATGACTTTCTAGACTAGTGCTTATAGAATGCTGTGGTCTCCAAACCCAGTGGGCTGACCCACTTTTCCTTCTTCCCCTTGACTTTACTCTCTAGATTTCCCATTTGGCACCGTGCAGTGGATTGAGGCTCATTTAAGATGTGCTGCTGTAGGAGGCATGGGAGGCCAATGTTCACTCAAGGCAGGGCCCATCCCTTCCCAACCTCACCTCCCATTTACTCCTTAGCCTCTTACACTTGCTTCTGCTGGCCTCTATTATGTGAAAGTTTTCACATGTCATTTCTCATTTGTACAACCACCCACAGGGATGTGGGTTTCTTTGTCTCTGCTTTACCAAAGAGAAAACTGAGATCCAGAGGTAATAACAGTCAAGAACCAAGGTGAGCTTCAAACCCAAGCCCATCTGATTGTCTACAAAACGGCGCTGTTTCTTAGGTTTCTGTGCCGGAAATTTTCTTCTCTAAGGTTGTGAATAACTTCTGATTTGTTGAACCCGATCTCTATTTGCAATCTCCATTAGATCTCAGCTACATTGGAAACTACCATCATGCCTTCTTGAAACTTTCTGTTCTCCAAATGACACCATACTCCGCTGATCTTCCTGCATCTCTGACTATTTCTGTTCTCTCTCTTTCAAGCCTGTCCCTTTAGTATTGGGTCTCCCCACAGGTGCATCCTGGACACTTTGCTCTTCTCACTCTATCTTTTCCTAGGGAGGCCTTCTGGCTTCATTTACCATTTGTGTCTGGCATGCTGAGCTCCCCTAATTCTACAGCTCGAAACCAGACTCCTCTCTTGGCCTCTAGACCAAATTGTCAAATGACTTCTCCAAATAGATAATCCATGGGCATCTCTAACTTCACTCAGGGTAAGCTCTAGTCCCTAGATTATTTCAGATAATAGACCCATTCACACAAACTCAAACTACCTTTGATGACTTCCTCATCCTTATACATTCCACTAATCACAGGCCTACCCATTTTGTCTCATAAATATTTCTCGGATTTATCTCATCTTCTTCATCACTGTTTACTGCCTTAACCCAAACTTTTATCACCTCATACTTGGACCACTTTCTAACTGGATTTAGAGTCTCCTGGCTTGTCTCATGAAATCCAACCTCTACACTAAAATTTCTAAAATGTAGACTTGACCACATCACCAACATGTTTACAGTAATTTGTTGAGGTAGTAAAAGTCCAGCTCCTTAGTCTGGTACACTAGGCTTGCTTTTTTTTTTTTTTTTGAGTTGGAGTCTCACTCTGTCGCCCAGACTGGAGTGCAGTGGCCGCTCCTGGCTACCGCAGCCTCGACCTGCTGGGCTCCGGTGATCCTTCCACCTCCCCACAGGCAGGGCCCATCCCTTCCGGGTACTTTTCCAAGTAGCCGGAATTATAGGTATGCGCTACTACGCCCGGCTGATTTTTGATTTTTTGTAGAGATGAGGTCTCGCTGCTCAGGCGGGTCTCGAACCACGGGCTCAGGCAATCCACTCACCTCGG